TCTCTCTCTCTCTCTCTCTCTCTCTCTCTCTCTCTCTCTCTCTCTCTCTCTCTGTGTGTGTGTGTGTGTGTGTGTGTGTGTGTGTGTGTGTCCTCCCCTCCACTGCCCTTCTCCTCCCCGTTTTCTCTCTTATCTCCCCCTTTGCTCACCTTGCGCACTTTACCAAGCTTGTCATAGTAATCCACAACTGGGACACTCTGACTCACAAACACCTGCAAAAAACGCCAGAGCACAGAACGAGAAATTTCATTAAATAATTTGAATTTCATTAAAATTGATCCAATTCTCCAGGAAATAAAAAACAGGCCCACGAGCCAATGGCAGAAGGGCAATCCTGCAGTTCTGTTTTTCGGCAACATCGTGCCCGCCATGAGAGCAAAGCCGAACAAAAAGTTAGTTGCACACGTGATGAGCTAAGCTCTTTTTTCTACATGGAAAGTGTGCTTCGCTTTTTTTTTTTTTGTTGTTGTGCGTTGCTTTTTGTTCGTCATTCATTCATAAGCAATTCATCCACAACCGGTTTTCAAAAAAATTGACTTCCCTTTTCCAGGAAATGACAAGCTCTAGAATGATGGGGGTCAACAGTGGGGAATCGCGGACAACAGGCGAGAGAACGATGAACCGAGAAAAGGCTTGGAGGAATTCATTTCAATGATTTCAGTGGAAGGAGAGCGTTTATTATTATCTTGTAAATCTGGAATAAACTTCAATAAATATTAAATATTAAATCATAATTTAAATATGAAACAATAAATTATTAAATTATTAAATTATTAAATTTACTCGACCTTTTGGCTAAGATCAAGTCGAGTATCTGTTCTCGTCAGTTTACTATCTGTTCCGTGGTGGTCTATTGGGCCTTTCTTTCTTAAATCCATTATGAGGACCAACGGGCCTACCTATCTCAGTTGGTATACAGTACTATACAGTACTATACAGTACTATACAGTGTATACACCCATGAACTGTTAAGAGAAACATACCTCAGTTCGAATCCCAAACAACTCAGACGGGACGGGAAAATTAAAAATTTACTGTTAAGAATTTACCACGGGCCGGTCAAATAAAGCACCTGGACCTTCTTTAAACAATTTTCTCCTTTGTTAACTCCGGAACTCTTAACTATATGCCGAGCAGTGTGGAATGGGGGAACCCTACCCCCCTCGGCATTAGAAGGGATTATCCCCTTTGTTAAAGTTTGTTTTCAAAAAAGGGGACCGGACCGACGTGCGTAATTACCGTCCGATCACATTGATGCCCGCCGTGTACAAGATTTTCTTCAAAATCTTGACAGCAAGACTGCAGCAAGTACTGACGACGATCATCCACCCCTCGCAAACTGGCTTTTTGCAAGGGAGACAAATTCTTTACAACATCATGACTGTGGAAAGATTTATGGAATGGGTGACAGATGGAGAAGAACAAATGGCAGTCATATTACTTGACCTGGAGAAAGCATATGATCGGGTGGGTTGGGAATTTCTACAAGCTACAATGATTGCTTTTGGTTTTGGACCTAAGATCCGACATGCAGTCAAAGCACTCCTGGTTGGGGCTACCTCTAGACTGTGTGTCAATGGGACGCTTTCCCCACCAATCTCACTCTCTCGGTCGGTTAGGCAAGGATGTCCTGTGGCCCCTTATCTGTACATACTGTATGTGGAAGTCATGAATGTCTTGATTAGAAGTAACCCGGACATTCGGGGATTTCTTTTGCCCTCAGGCGATAGGCTCAAATCGGAGGCTTTTGCTGACGATTCAGTAGCATTTACTCCTTTGCTGGATGCGGCCTTTGAAAAGCTGCAGGAGACCATCGATCTCTTCTGTCTGGTTTCACAAGCTGCGGTTAATTGGTCCAAGTCATCAGTCCTTGTGCCACCAGGAGCCCAACCCCCCTACCATTGGGAACTGAGGGTTGTGGTGCCTACACAGCAGGAACGGTTGTTAGGCCACCGGATATCATTCACCCCTCAACTGCGATTGGATTCCGCTTCTTCCTTGACGTCACTCCGGGCTGCCTTTCATCCTTGGACTGCCCACAAAGGGGTGAGCCTATACGGACGATCTTTGGTTATCAATAATGCTTGTTTTTCTACACTTTGGTATCACAGGTCCATCTACCAACTTGACTCATCTTCTCTGCAAACTGTGCGCCGTCTTGCTACACATTATCTTTGGAAAGAAGAAACAAATCACGACAATTACTTACCCAAAGTGGCTTGGGAAGTGGTCACACAGCCCAAACGGAAAGGAGGCCTGGCAGTTCTGGACCCGGAGAGGCAAATTGCAGCACTGTTAGCCAGATGGATACCGTGGGGCCTGCTAGCTGATTCCACCTTCAGGTGGAAACAGCTGGCAGGACCTGCACTTCTGTCAATTTGGGGATGGGAGAACCCTAAACATGTCTGGCTGCCCTCGCTTATTGACTCCTACCTCAGGAAACGCTTGCCGTCAGATATATGGGGAGGCATATTAAAAGCTTGGAAGTTGGAAGCAGATCGCCCCTGATCTGCAACCACCGCCAATGGTAATGGAGCTGGGACGTGCGTGGAAAATGAGGGGGTGGTAGGTTAACGATAAAATCGTCGTTCTTCTGAAAATAGAGAGAGGACAGAGGGCAAGGCCGGGGGAAAAAAAAAGGAGGAAGAAAGTATGGGGTATCCTATAGATTCGCAGTGCGCTTCAAAGAAAGAACCGTTAGTTCGTCGGTTAGAGGAGAGGAGAGAGAGTAGGGAGTCGGCTAGAGGAGAGGAGAGAGGGTAGGGAAGGGAGGGGCGAGGGGTTAGGGGTGGAGGAGATGTGGGGAGACCGGTTTTATATGTGTCAAAGCGGTTTAGGAAAAGTTTGAATAAGGAGCGAGAAAGGGGGTTATGTTTCCCGGCACACACACACACACACACACACACACAGACGCAATGCCTGGACGGCACGCGGCATAGGGACAGTGGCTGACATATGGGACCCTGTGTTGGCTGATTGGAAACCTTATGAAACTTTGGCACCTTTGCTCTCTGGTCTTTGGCACCAGCAGGACCACTTACAACAGCTACAGCAAGCAATCCCGGATACTTGGCTGGAGGTACTGAGAGCAGGTCTTGTCCCTGCTCAGGGAATGTGGTATAAACATTCGCACCAAGAACAACCACTGCAAATATGGAAAGTGGACACTCATTCCGAGGAAGCTCAAATACCACATTCTTGTTGGGAGGTACTAGATGGGCTTTTTGGCTTAGGAACAACTTTGACATATGCGGCGAATCAAGAACCGATGCCTCCTGCCCAAACTCTGACACCTGTACGTGTTTTGGAAACTGCAACAGGCTATCACCCCTTCCACCTCTCTTGTCCCTCCTACCTCTGGTCTGTGGACCCCAGAGATTGGGCCTGGGAACACCCTCTGCACCGAAATGAAATGGTTTCAGATGCACCGATATTCAACCAAACTGGGATATCTGCTTTCAACCCCTCAGGTTGATGTCAATTGGAAGGTGGCTTGTAGATGGTTGGCGACAGGTTGGATCAGAGACTCGCTGACAAGA